AACTGGCAACCTGCAGGCCAAATGCATCATGCACAGGCCACATCCAACCCACAGCAACGTGATACAACGTTTGACACCCGTGTTATAGTGATTTGTTGAGAACACTGCTACTTTGGAGTACTATGTTATTGTTCAGAATAAAAAGTTAAGAAAGATTATCACCTCAATTTATGACTACAGCAACCTATGATCAAATTTCCGGGATCCACTGTGGTCATAAGTTAAGGACTACCAGAATCCACAATACTATTTTGTGTCTTAAGTATAAACTAAAGTAATAGTAGCAACAACAATATTTAAATTAAAATATGCTACAATATAAAACATAAAGTGTGATGCACAGTGGCCTGCAGAAAAAAACAGCAGAGAACAGTAGATATTTTTTCCTGTTATATGAGCTGTCAGGAATTGACCTGCAAAATGGATAATCATCACCTCTAAAAATCTGTTCTTCGGAATACATGCTTCATGTTCTATAACGACTAAAGAAAATCTATGTTTTAAATTCACCATTATGCTAACTCAGCTGTAACTGAAAGCATGTTGGGTGTTGATTTATGTTGTACTTTGAAGACTTTCATTCAATAGCTAGCTGCATTTTTCAGTTGTAGCAATACATATTGCTTAGGCTTATTAAACATCATCTATTGTCATTTACCACCCATTTCCGCCCCTTCTCTAAATCTACTGATCTTCACTGAAGCTTAGGGAAAGGTTTCTGTCAGTTTTGCTGGGGTATAGAAAGGATAATATGTGAACCCTGAACTATGATTAAGGAGCAAGACTGGTAAAAAAAAGTCACCTGATGTTATACTGTATTACCTATTCCAATACAACTGAAGAATACCTAAAAAATATTTAATATGCTATATAATGCAAATAAGTTTTTAAAAAACCAGATAATGGGACATAATCTTTTTTTGTAGACAATAAAATTTCATTTAATGTAACAATTAGTGTACATTCAAAATGACAATAAAGTTATTCTAAGTCTAAGTCATTTGAGGAACTACTGCTCTATTTATTAAATCAGCTACAATGAAATTCATCTGAATCAAATTCTATTTTGGGAATAGCAAGCAAGAAACACATGCAAACCACACTATTCTTCTTAATTTATAAACACAGAACTAATTCATCTCTTTCTATTAGCACTTGAGATACATTATTTAATTATTTGGAAATAAGATTGGATGTTCAGACAGCTGCTTTCTATATCATTTCTCTTGAGAGTATTTTTTTTTTGTAAGCATAAAACAAACATTTTCAAATAATATTGAAAAGCAAATAAAGTTGTTTTCACACAAACTAGTAATGATGAAAAATAATTTGATTACAACATCAAGACTTCAGGTTAAACATGAGCTCAAATAGTCAGAATCAGATTTACGATAATTACTTAAGAGTTTGCGTATAAAAATGCTTTGATTTTCTAAGTGCCTCTTTGTATCGTTCAAGAAACACGTCAATCCTCTTAAATTAACAGATCCAAAAAAGATACAGCGCTATATCAACACATGCTATGTTTTGCAATTCAATGGCCAGCCTGCACCTTCATGAACTGTTACCATGCAGTAATAAAGGAGCTTGTGCAACTCGCTATTATCCTTGGGGATGGATACTTCCTATACAGTTCACACTTGAGGGACATGTCATAAACAAAGTATCTACTAGATAATAAAATAGCAACCTCTCTCCAACATTTTGTCGAAAAGTTACTGATAGACCTTTTGGTGAAAACAGTCTTCTCTTTTTGTTTCTTGTACAAACTCTCCTCCTTTTGTTAGCTTTAGGTACAGATTAGCATTACAGGTAGTCCTTGATTTACAACAGTTCCTTTAGTGACCGTTAGAAGTTATAACAGCATTGAAAAAGTGACATGACTATTTTTCACACTTACAACATTGTAGCATCTCTGTAGTCATGTGATCAAAATTCAGACTCTTGCCAAGTGGTTCATATTTATGACCGATGCAGTGTCCAAGGGTCATGTGATCTCCTTTTAGGACCTTCTGACAAGCAAGGTCAATGGGGAAACCAGATTTATTTAACAACCAGGTTACTAAATTAAGGACTTCAGTAATTAACTTAACAATTGTATAGAAAGAAAGATTGTAAAAGGGGGCAAAACTCACTTAACAAATATTTCACTTAGCAACATAAATTTTGGGCTGAATTGTGGTCATGTCGAGAACTACCTGTATAGTTATACAAACGATCTATTTTTACATTATTCACATTCATCCAGCTTTGAAATATTTAAAAATCGACAAATGATAAACAGATATAGTAAATAGAAAAGAGAAAATATTTAGCTACCTATCATAAAGAAAAGTGACGCACGGTTGATGAAAGCCAGAATTTTTTCTTCTTCATGCCATTTCAGACCTTAGCCACTGAAGTAGGAAATAGTTCATATTTATAGTTTCTTCATGAAGTCAAAACAAAGCAATATACAGATGAAACTCAAAAAATTGGAATATTGTGCAAAACTTCATTTATCATTTACTGCTCAGTAATGCAACTTAAAAGGTGAAACTAATATATGACATAGACTCATTACATGCAAAGCAAGATAGTTGAAGCTGTGATTTATCATAATTGAGATGATTATGGTTTACAGCTCATGAAAATCCTAAATCCACAATCTCAGAAAATTAGAATATTACATGCAATCAATAAAACAAGGATTGTACACAAAATAATATCGGACCTCTGAAAAGCATAAGCGTTCATATGTACTCAGTACTTGGTTTGGGCCCCTTTTTCAGCAATTACTGCCTCAATGCGGTGTGGCATAGAAGCTATCAGCCTGTGGCACTGCTGAGGCGTTATGGAAGACCAGGATGCTTCAATAGCGGCCTTCAGCTCTTCTGCATTGTTCAGTCCCATGTCTCTCATCTATCTCCTGGCAATGCCCCATAGATTCTCTATGGGGTTCAGGTCAGGCAAGTTTGCTGGCCAATCAAGCACAGTAATCCTGCGGTCATTGACCCAGGTTTTGGTGCTTTTGGCAGTGTGGGCAGGTGCCAAGTCCTGCTAGAAAATGAAGTCAGCATCCCCATAAAGCTCGTCTGTGGAAGGAAGCACGAAGGCCTCCAAAATCTCCTGGTAGATGGCTGTGTTGACCCTGGACTTAATGAAGCACAGTGAACCAACACCAGCAGATGACATGGCTCCCCAAATCAACACAGACTTTGGAAACTTCACAAAGGACTTCAAGCATTTTGCAGCATGTGCCTCTCCATTCTTCCTCCAGACTCTGGGTCCTTGGTTTCCAAATGAGATGCAAAAGTTGCTCTCATCAGAAAATGATGAGAAAACACTTTTGAATGGCCTTTTCCTGACAATCCTCTCCAGGCTGCGGTCACCTCTGCTGCTTGTGCACCTTTTTCTTCCACACTTTTCCCTTCCACATTACTTTCTATTAATGTGCTTTGATACAGCACTTTGGGAACATCCAACTTCGTTTGCAATTACCTTTTGAGGCTTTCCCTCCTTATGGAGGGTGTCAATGATGGTTTTCTGCACAACTGTCAGGTCAGCAGTCTTTCCCATGATTGTGATTCCTACTGAACCAGACTGAGAGACCATTTAAAGGCTCAGGAACCCTTTGCAGGTGTTATGGCTTCGTTAGCTGATTAGAGTGGGACCCTTTGAGCCTAGAATATTGAACCTTTTCACAATATTCTAATTTTCTGAGATTGTGGATTTGGGGTTTTCATGAGCTGTAAGCCATAATCATCTCAATTATGACACATCACGGCTTGAACTATCTTGCTGTAATGAGTCTATCTCATATATTAGTTTCACCTTTTAAGTTGCATTACTGAAATAAATGAACTTTTGCACAATATTCTAATTTTTCTAGTTTCACCTGTAGAATAAGTCTGATTCTCCTTCTTCTAACTCCTACATTCTGAAGGGGAAAGGATCTTCAATTTTCATCAGTCAAATCTAAGATCATCTGGCCAGTGCAACTATATCTACAGGTAGTCATCAACTTACAAGCATTTCTTTAGTGACTGTACAAAGTTACAACAGCACGGAAAATTGTGACATGACCAGTTCTCACACTTATGATCATAGCAGCATACCTACGTCACATGATCAAAATTCAGGCACTTGGCAACTGGGTGTATTTATAACTGTTGCAGTATTCTGGGATCATGTGATCAGCTTTTGCAATCTTTCCAGCTGGCTTCTGACAAGTCAAATGAGGGAAGCTGGATTGTGTGATTCACTCAATTGCAATGATTCAGTTAACAACTGTGATGAAAAAGCTCATAAAATCAGGCAACTGCTTTACTTAGCAACTGCTTTACTTCGCAATGAAAATTCTGGTCTCAACTGTGATTTTAAATCAAGGACTACCTGTACATTGAAAGGAAAAAAATTAAAGAAGTGCAACTTCTCTTTCCCCTTTGGGTAGATTGGGGACTTTTGCTACACAGAAGAAAACTAAGCAGCAGGCCAAGTACCAAGGAGTAAATTTCTATGTTGTTCCCTGATGCTAAACATCTTCATAAGTAAAAATAGGCAGCATGCATATCCATGCTCTTTGCTTGTGCAATGGTATTAGAAGACAAAATGCCGTACAATCTAAGAGTAGATAGATATCCTCACCAGCCCAACCTGGCTTCATTTCCATTCTCCATGACTACTCATTTTACACCAGAATGTGGTGAAGTGATTAGTATACTGGCCTAGAAACCAGGACACTGTAAGTTCTAGACCTCCCTGAGGAATAAAAACCAATTGGGTGACTTTGTGCCAAACACTCTGGTTCAGCCCAACCAATCTCACAGGCTTGCGGCTGTGGTGAAAAGGGGAGGCAGGACTATATTAAATACATTTACCACCTAGAGTTATATACAAAAAAATCTGAATGAAAATGTTGTTGTTCAAAACTGGCTAGCATCTGGACAACATACAAGAAATGGAAGGTAACAATAACATTCATAAAGAATGGTTACATAATGATGAAAAAAAATCCATACCTGCACCAGGAATGATCGCTAATTTTGTTTCAACTAGACCCATTTTTGCAGAAGAAGCTAAAAAAGAAAAATTGGTTTTTGAAAAACCTACACATTGCTTTAATAAAATAACAGGAACTTAGTATAATAAACTGTAGCTTCACTGTAACAATTTCAGATAGAAGTGAAAACACTGAAAAGAGTAGAATGCCAATGGCTGTTTTACTTCAGCATTAAGCCATGGTTTATTGAGAAACCAAAAACAAATTCAACTGTGCCTTAGGTTGTATGAGAAAAAACTTTTTTTTCTCAATAGGCTCTGTAAGGCCTTTCATTTTTCAGAAAGGGCATACAGGATGTAGGAAATAAAACCTTTTTTAATGCTCATGTGTGAAGATCCATCTCTGTTCTTTGTAAAAAGGCAGTATGTGTCATGATTTTCTAATATTTTCACACCCAGAAAAACAAAATTATTTGTATGGCAATTGTTCTGTGTACAATATATGCCCATTTAGAATACTCTTCTTTGTGCATTCATGTATTTTTCAATACACTGATCTCCAGCTGAACTAGGCAAATTGTAGTAAACTGGACAGTCCAATGAATAAATACTTTAATTGGGATATATTGCTGTTGCTTTTAAAGTTGTTATATTTTTATTTTTTATGTTCTGTAAACCATCTGAGTTGCTTATGCAAAGAAAAAAGCAAGGTATATATTTATTAATATATTAAAACACTTCTTCTAAAGTGAGCAATTCAGATATAGGAAGTTTTAATTCATTCTCCCTTCCTGTGAACTTCCTTATTTAGAATAAGGCTACAGAACAATCATGCAATTATCTTGCCTAGATTTAGTATTTGGTTTTATGACTAAAAGCTATGAATAGATAAAAGGTTAATTCTCTTTTTCCATCATTGGTTTTATTAATGTTGTAATTTTCTATATCTGAATGACACAAGTAAGAGGTGAAGGGATCCACTCCAGTATTAGACAATCACCTCCATCCAACAGTCAAAGCTAGACGATGTCTCCAGGACAGGTGACATGCTAAAAACCCTTCAGCTACTCTTGTAAAGTAGAAAAAATTGTCTTAATGTGAACACTTCATTAACCTGTGCCTTTTTCTTTATCCTCTTTTGTACTTATTAGCAACAACCTTTTCATGACACAAATCACAATTTTTTATATTAGATTAAATACATTTACCCTGGATCCAAAAATTAAAAGATACATACTAATACCAATGTAAATACTATAATAATTATCAAAGTCGAGGTGTTCAAAATTGCATTAAAATAGTGTTCAGAAATCATTTTCCCTACACTTGAATTAAACAAGGTTTAGATGAATGCTTTAATTTTAAAAATAGGACTAAATCTTACCTGCCACTCTTATATCACAGGCTAGAGCCAATTCTAGGCCCCCACCTAATGCAATGCCATCTATTGCAGCTATAGTTGGTACTGGAAGATTAGCTAAAAGGCAAAGTTAACAAAAATAATTTCAGGCAGTTGTCAATAGTTCTAACATAAAATTAATTTTATGAAATTTCTAATATCTATTTATTAATTAATTTATGTGCTGCCCATCTTGTGAGTCTATGGATAATAGCATTTTTTTTTCAATATTAACTGCAAACTAAATTCTGACTACAGAGATATTTGGGGTATTAACAGCAATAAAAAACAAGATACCAGAATTAATTATAATAAGGAACAGTTATGACAAACCAGCAATTCCTGATCTGTAAATTTGCAAATCAGATATGCTGTCTATCCATAATGGAAGTTATTTACTTTATTATTTTAATTTACATGCCATTCTATTTCCAAGCAGCGAAGGTCTTTCTGGCTGCAAACTCTACCTTTTGTTCAAGTAAAAGCTATGAGATGAGGAGGTTCAGATGAAAATTCTGTTACTTAATAGAGATCTGGAAAACACATAAGCAGGGCATAAAAATAACAACCCTACTCATTGTTTGTCCCCAGAATTCACAAGCCTGTATTACTAGTAAATATGTAAGTTTTAGTTGTTTGCTTCAATATAAATTAACTGATTCAATCCTAACAGGAAGTTATCACTGAAAGACAATAAATTCTTAAAATACTGCCATTCCAATCTTAGGTAATAACAGATATCTACAATGGATTCTTAACCTCATTATCAAAAACGTTTTATGAATTTTTGGAAACACTCCTTCTGAAGTGCTGATGAATTTAATTTCCCTTTTTACAAAAGAATATTTAGCAACCAGCATGTTTAGTTATAGATCCAGATTGTAAGCCATCTAGAGTAGCCCCAAGGTGAGATAGGCAACAAATAAATTTAACATATAAAATAAATAGAATTGATAGCTTGAAACACAAATAATTCTAAGCTCTTTGAATTATTTACAAATATGTTTTGATACTGTTGAAAAAAGAAAAGCCTTGGCTCTACTCCTTCTACCTCTCTCAGTCCAACTGTTTAGAATACATTTGTTTTTAATTAAATCAGTGTTAACTGATTAAACCAGTTAAAGTTTCTGATTGAAGTTTTCAAGGAAACATTTTGATTTTTTTTTTCTGTTTTGATCCTATTCAAACTGAGTTTAACTTACTTCAGAAAGATATTCACTGAAATAAATTCTGTCTGTACATTTAGAGGGTTTATTTACACTCAATTCAGTAATACTAATAACAGAGAAAAGTATAAGAAAAGTAATATTCTTTAGTGACAATTATATTATACATCTCTTTGTCATGTTAATGAAAATTAGCCTTAATTTATTACGCAGTCATTTATCACTGAGAACCTTACTTACTACTACTATTCATGATTGATTCAATCAGTAATATTTCAATGAGAGTTGTACTTACCCATTTCATTAATAGTGGATCTTGCTTTTGATACAAAAGAGCTTACTTCACTAGCATGCATTTTAGCTCTTTCTTTAAGGTCAGCACCTGCAAATGACATTTTATGGTCATATTTAAATACCATCACAATTTCTGTTCAAATCAACCAATTTTCTCTAACCTGAATATCCTTCAAATGCATGCACATCAGCATTTTTATGAATGACAAGGCTTGCTAGAATTTCTGGGAGCTAGGCATAATCCGTTCATACTTTATAGAAAAGTACCATGGAAATGGAAATCTACTTCTTGACAAGGTCTCAAAACTCTGTCACTTCTCTTTACAAACATTTGGATATAAAATAAAAATGTGTATAAAATTTACAAAGTACTTAAAATATACTCCATTGTATGTTTTATATGCATGTTTCATGAAAAACATGGAAATACACCAGTCGTCATTTCATAAAGGACAAAAAAAAGGAAAAAGTTAATAAAACAAACCAAGCTAATTTCTAGATGGGTGGAACAGTTCATATAAAAAGGCATTTGTTTTTTCATGATAGCTCTGAAAACTATCTCTAATGTGTTATAAGCATGACCATATCTTTTGAATGTTTTGCCAAAATGAACAATTTTACAAACAAAATAAGGAAATGAAAATAAGGAACACCTCTTCTTAAACAATCCAACAAATTATTTATAAAAGTCATACATTTTATCCAACAGCAGAAATTGTTTCAAATTTCATGCTTAAGTCTCTTCTGAAGCAAAGCGCTCCAATAGAATATTTAAGAGACTTTCCTCTATACAGTCAATGTCCCAAGAGAAGAAATTTACTATGTCTATAGCCAATTATTTAAAATTAGATTAAAAATGTTTCTATGTAAAGGCTATATGAAAAGTTTTATAATTGTGGTCCACATGCATATTCATCCATAATTAAATGTGACTGAAACATTTTATATAATTATCCCACTCGTTTTATATTAATAGCCCAAGATGACAAAAATTAATGATGCAATAGCCAATTTTATTTCTGCCAAGATTAAAAAAAATTAACAAATAAATAAAATCTGTGTCAGATTAAAAAGTGCCATTTATACATTTTTAGAGATACCAGGTTTATATCAGGCATTTGGAGCAGGACATTAGAATTAGCTATTTCCTACTGATACCATAATACATATAATTCATATGCTCCCCTAACTCAACAAATTAAAAATATTCAATTTATATTGTCTATTTCAGTTATTGCTGTATTAGTCTTCATTTAGAATAGAATAAAAGAGTTGGAAGGGATCTTGGAGGTCTTCTATTCCAACCCCCCTGTCCAACCATTCAGACAAACGGTTTCCAACATCTTTTAACTAGCTGAAATTTATTTTTGTTGGACCTGAAACTGAGGAGTGCAATTATGGAAGGATTGTAATTAGAAGATTATTAAACAGAAGAACGTCTGAATGTTTGTAGTTATATGATCATATCTAACAGCTTTATTAACACATAAAAGAAGATTCACATAATCCAAAAATTTATTCTCTGAAAAAGTCAAGCTCACATGTTACTCACAAATGCCTTCTTACAAAATCAATTTCAGAATAATTTTGCAAATGGCTATCTAATTTCTGCCTCTGATTAATAGCAACAGAATATATACCATTTTTATATTCTTAATCTAGATAACTAGCAATCAAAGCTTAAATATCAGAAAATTTAAACAACTGACGAAAGTACTGGCACTCAAGTGACATCAGAAGAGAAAATAACATTAACATTTTCTGGTTATTGTCAGCCTATACAACTGAACAGGCTAAAATTATGGCAACAGAAATAAGAGTCTCTTCAAAACTATTGCTTTGGCCACAAGTTACACTTACAATAAAGTATGTACTGCCTTTACATTTGCTATTTAATTAAAATGGATAAAATTAATAATAGTGAGCTGCATGAATATGCAATTACTGCAGCTCTGTAGAACAATGCTGAAGTATTGATTATAAGGCTCAACTAAAGACAAAGACATAGAAGATGCCATACCTTGGTAGCAATATAAAATAATGACCTCACTAGATATTTAACACATAGTTTTGTTTCATTTCCAGTATAAAAAAGAAACAATAGGACAGGGACAGTAGGCATGTTGGTGCTCTTATGCACGCCCCCTACAGACCTCTTAGGAAAGGGATGAGGTCAATAGTAGACAGTCTAAGGTTAAAGTTTTGGGGGTTTGGGGAAGAAACCGTCAGGTAGAGTATTCCAGACATTGACCACTCTGCTGCTGATGATTGTTGATGAGGAATAAATAGTAATATTTTATTGGCTGCTACAAACTAGATCCCCTACTTCAAAAAACTTTCTTCAATATAACTCTATCACTGTAAAATAATTAGTAAGAGAGGAAACTAACCTTCCTCTGTAGCTCTTTATTGCATCTGTATCCTATTAAAACTCTTGTGTCTGTAATCTTTTTAAACCAAGATATCTCAAATGGGATAACTTACAAAATGCAGGGACCCATTATTTCCCAAAGGAATGAAAATTTAGGAAAGTTGTGGCTGTTTCAGAGCTGCCAGTTGCTATTTCTTCAGTACTGCCACCACGCTGTTATCATCATGTGACTTTTATTTTCAACTTTCCCTGACAGCATCATGGCCAATCCTTTGTGAGTTAGTGGAGGGAGGAAGGCAGGGCAGGGAAAAGGGAAGGGAGGGAGATTTCCAATGTTCATTGCCAGCTTCCTAGAAGGAAATTCAATAAGAAAGCTGACAGAAATTCAGAAATCCTCCTCCCACTGAGTTTTTGCTGTCCATGGTCATTCTGTTTCCTCTGTTTAAGTAAAGAAATACGTCTGAAACAGTGACCCACTGAGTGACAGCTTGTCTAAGTTTCTTTAATATTACCGGTTTGCTTCTTGTTGATCAAAGCTTTGCAGCTGAAGAACCAGATAAAATACCCTTAAAATAAGAAATTTTAGAAAGCTACAATATACACCACATTTCTAACAAGACAAACAAATAAAAAATTCGCCATACTTTTCCTTTTGGCAGATTTTGTTTCAATGCTTAATTTCAAATACGATCATGGATTTTCATGATCTACCAGAGCTACTAATTCTAAGTTATACATGGTTTCACTTCCCCAGGCAGACCAGGTATGCTCTGGAGTCACAACTATTCCATGAAGAGGTTACTGTTGTGGCTAGACGGGTCTTTTTGTGCAACTTTCAGTTGTGTTCCAGTCGCACCCAATCCTAGATCAATCCTAGGTTCTATGTTCAATCACTCAGGCCCTAATTAATTCCTGTTTTACATCGGGCTGCCCTTGAGGAATATTTAGAAGCTTCAGTTCAAAAACAGATAAAGGCAGTCCATGGGTTATGGAGGCAATTGGGACTGCAACGCTTATCACTGTCATAAAATGTGATGTCACATGACTGCATCATTTATCAATGACAATTACAGAAGTAATAGTTGCTGTTTTTAAAACAATGGCAATTTTAAATGTTTATGTTTTTAACTGTAAGCCATCCAGAATCATGAATGTGAGATGAGAAGCTATATAAGCATTGGGTCATTAAGTCAGGACCTCACGATTGCAGTTTCCTGCCAGCTTCCCCATTGACTTTACTTTTAGGAAGTAATTGGAGAATGTTGGACATTGCGATCGTGTGACTGTGGCTCACTGAGATGTTGTAATCACAAGCCAGGTGCAAGCATAGGGAATCACATGACTGCAGGGACATTGCAAGGGCTGTAATTCCGAACTTATATCTTAAGTTCTCCTCATTCAGCATTACTATAACTTGTAACTGCTGAACAAATGGTCATAATCTGAGGACTACCTGCATAGATATAGATATTTAGACATACACACACACGCACAAAGTCAGGAAAGCTCTCCAGTCTATATATCTCATTAAATATTACAGAACTTTTTTCTTAAAAGGGCACAGCACACATTATTTAAAACATAGAACATATCTATATTTCATTCCCAAATAAAAGATTCCAAGTTATTTCTTCTGAGTTTAATAGATTATGGATTTCCAGATGGATAATAAAAATTAAGTTTGCATACCAGCACAAAATACCCCAGGAACTTCACTTCGGAATATAACTGTCCGTACTTTTTTGTCTGTTTTCAAAGCGTCCATAACTTTTGATATCTACAGAGAAAAGGTGTGGACATTATCAACACTAATTTTCAGTTTTTCACATTAGTAAGTAGTTAAAGTTTCATTTACTTACCGCTTTAACAAGATTTTTATTAAGTGCATTTTTTGCATGTGCTCTGTTTATTCCAAGTACAACAATTCCTGTATGCAGGACAAAAAATAATTACAAAAATCAGTTATAAATTCCAAAACATTTCATGCTACATTTTTAAGACTTTTACGTCTTTTGGGGAAAATGCAAGAGTTTATATGAATAATTATTGCTGTGCATTTATTTGAAAATTTTAGTGCTATAATAACTAGCATGAAAATACACATTAATAGTTGGTTGATAAATATATTTTAATATATTTCTTATTTGAAAAACTATAGTAGATAATTTGGAGTATTGCTAATAACATTGAAAAATTTGTATGCCCTAGCTTTATATAAGCATAATTCCATTATAGCAATAGCACTTAAATTATATACTGCTCCATAGTGCTTTACAGCACTCTTGGCTGAAGGATGGAAGGTGAGTCAACCCTGAGCCAGTCAGGATTGAACTGCTGACTATGGGCAGAGTTAGCAATACCAATAGCACTTAGACTTATATACCGCTCAGGTTACAAAAGATGATCATGCTGCAACCATCATAAATATGAGTCAGTTGCCAAGAGTCAGAATTTTGGCCACTTGACCATGGGGATGTTGAAATGGTCGCAAGGGTGAAAAACAGTCACAAGTTACTTTTTCAGTAACAAGTAACTTTAAACAGTCACTAAATGCACCCTTATAAGTTGAAGACTACCTGTACTATGCAACCATCTATTCACTATAAATAATACACTATAAATTGGAATAGAGGTGTTTCACCTCCCAATCTTCCATATGTTTATTAAAAAGACAGGAAAAGTCAATTAAAGCTAGCATAAAATTACAGATATAAAGTATTTTCTCACAAAGCATTCAAAGTACACTTTACTCCTCTCATTTTACTTATCTAAAATAGTCATTTATATTGATCTCTGAATATACTGTAAAATTCAAGAGCATGACATTCAAAGGATAACCTGCACATCATTCCAGAAAGCATAATCAGTACATCTGTGTAGGTGCAGCCAATCAGCTCAATGTAGAATGCAAAGATTTTATTGTGCTTTTAGCTTAAGTTCTGGGCAGAAATTCTTGATACATTTATACACTTAAGATTTCAATATGATTTAAGTATTTATCCATGCATATTTTCCAAGAGGTTAGGAGCATGCATAAGCACACAATCATGCCTACCATCCCTGTTCTATTGTCACCAATTATTAGTTCCTATTTCTTATACTTAAAACTTATGTTTATTTTTATTTATATTATATTGTAAGCATTTGACAACATAAATAAAGAATAGAGAGTGTATTTTTTAGAAATATAAACGTGTAACAGCGACAGCCAAATGACAGGCCACCTTCAAATAAAACGCAGAACTTTCAAAGTCTGCACATCAGACATCCTGACTTTACAACCCGGGCACCCATATTTCCCAGTCTCCTAAACTAGCTTAAGACTTTTCCGAACCAGCGACTGTAACGCTGGTTAGTCATCACCCACAGCACACGAGAAAGAGCTGCGCATGCGCTTTATGATTGAAGCGGCTCGCGCGACCCGCCCCCGCCCACGGGACAATTTAAAGGGTCAGGCAGCTTCATCATTTCGGACAGATAATTGGACATGGACGCGTCCCATCTACGAGTCTCCGCGGCTGACAAGCAAAAAGAGGCAGCCAAGCCTTATCTGCTGGCCAGAAATGGAGGGAGGGAGGGGGGAACATATGGCTTTCCTGAGAAATGGAACTTCAGGTTACGGCCTGAATGACAGGTGAAAAAATAAAAAAAGAGCCCCGCTCCTTCCACGGCGGCTACTGCAGTTACCTTTATGCTCGTCGTCCAAATACCGAACCCGCAATTCCTCCTCCAGTCCTTTGGCTTCGGAACTGTATTTTCTCACGGCCGCGGTCAGGCCACAACAGCTGGCCGGCCTCACGGGGCCCAGGGAGAAGGAGGAGGCGACGGCGGCGAAACTCCCTCGACGGTGAAATAGCCTAAGCGCTACCTTGGCTGCCGCGGTAGCCGCCATGTTGCCTGTCTAAGGAGGACGCTCCCCAAGCCAGTCTCTAGCGCGGTCACGTGACGGCCACTTTTAGCGCGGGCCGCCAAAAGCGGGGACCAGCCGGCAAATGGCCTGGAGCGGCCTCATTGGAGTAGGGCCTCCCCAGGGCAGGTTTTGCTCGATCGATTCTCCGGCCGATGAATGGAAAGAGATCCTCTTGTCGCTCGGGAAGGGTTGGCTTTACCCCTTCCCCCTGCCCTGAGGACTAAAGAATGGCCCAAGCCATATGTGGCTTACGTATTGCGAAGTTACAAGTCAACTTTTCCTATTTATTATCTTAGAAAGCTTCTCGCCAGACAAAAATAATAGCATTTCCCTTCATTTGTGTGTGACTTACTGTTTGGTGCCTCGAACTCTGTAAGGTGGTGCTCAATAATCGGAATTCTCACCGATTTTGTTTTTTAATTTCAATATAGGACAAAGCGCTGCTTATTCTTTAAAAAGTAAATTAATATTAAAAGCATTTAATGGTGACAAACAGGAATGGTATCGTGATTTTTTTTAAATCGTGGAATATATGCTTTGTACGCTTTAAGTTTCGGCAACATAACATACAACAACATATTGGCTACATAATAAAGCAATTCAGCAATATAATTCAGTCTTTATATACATGCAAAAATTCCATCACACAAGCCTATTATATGTTTTGATTAAATCAGTAAATGCACATAAACCTTTATTTCCTGTATATATTTCTCAATGGCTTGCTAAAAAGCAAAACTGATACGTGTACCCTAGCTCAGTATGAAGTTTTCTCTCATTTCTCAACTGGTACTGTGGTCTTTCAATCAAAATTCTGCCAAGGAGTGCTTAAGTCAAATCGTCCTGTCGTTTTTGTATTTATTCTTGCTACTTTCTTATAGCATTCTTCCAATCTGCATTTCTGCAATCTTTGCAGACCAGTTAAAACATTGTACAGTTATTCCCTAAACAAATAATACATATTCCCCCTGGTTAAATGTGAGAAAACAGATCCAAAGTTTGGGAGGACTCTGATGGCTGAGAAGCCGAACAAGGGGATGTCTCAGTATGTGGCCTCTCAGTCCCCTCTCCCCTGCAATCCCTAAGGCATCATGTGCTCAATGTCTAGCACTTTCATTTAACAACTGCAACAGGAAGTTGTTGTTGAGGCTGTTTTGCTTAATGGCTGTCACTACTTGAAACTAATGGTCAGGCTTCATTATGGTCAGGGGCTACCTATAATGCAACAGATAGACATTAAGTGACAATATAGGCATACCATATGATCCTGTGTGGCAGGAGCCATAGTGATTGCCAGTTGCTTACTTAAGTATACCCCATTTCTTTATAATTTAGATTTATAAAGTCTAGTCTAATTTGAATTAGACTTGGCACTAAACAGATTAAAAATAAATACCTAAAACAAACAAAAACGCATACATATAAAAAGAACTATTTTACCAAAATAGATACTGCATCCCAGGTAGGCATGGCCCTTCCTATTTGTTTAATCATTTGCTTTATATAGCCCATTCTGCTGGCACATAACTCAAGGTAGCATGCATGATCAATAAACAGTATGTGCCAGGGAAATATCACTTCCATCTCAATGCTGGATTAAAATACCAAGTTTTTAATGTCTTTTAAAAGGCAGGCCAGGGGCAGGATAAACCACATTTCAGGAGAAGGCAGTTCCATGCATTTCTGTTCTTCTGTTTATCTGAGGCTGAACCTTGATAAAACTAAGGGGCTTTGGATATGTGGAGTTCAAGATCTGGGGTTTTGGATGGAGTTGCACTGCCCCGCACAGACCTGGTGCACAATTCAGGGCTTCTGATCAAAGAGATAGCAATTGCAGTTAGGAGAATATTTTTTGCAACTTCACGTTGTTCACCAGTTGCACCCTTTCTTAGATTGGGAGTCCCTGACATTCAAGCCCTGGTCATCTCATGTTTGGAATACAAGTAGTCCTCAAATTACAAACCCAATCCCCAAATTTCTGTTGCTAAGAGACAGTTGTTAAGTAAAGTTTGCCCCATTTTGTGATCTTTCTTGCCACAGTTGTTAAATGAATCACTGAAATTGTTAAGTTAGTAACACGGTTGTTAATTGAACCTGGCTTCCCCATTGATTTTGCTTATCAACAGATCACAAAATGTGATCACATGATCCCAGGACATCATAAATATGAGTCAATTGCTAAGTGCCTGAATTTTGATCACATGACCATGGGGATGCTACAACAGTCGTAAGTGTGAAAAATGGTCATTAGTTGCTTTCTTCAGTGCTGTTATAACTTCAAACAGTCACTAAATGAACTATTATAAGTCTAGGACTACCTCTATTGCAATGTGCTCTATAAAGGTCCACCCTTGAAAAATATTTGGATTTACAGCTCGTGTAGAATACAGCCTCACAAATAGTCCTTGGGGTCCTTAGGGTGGCCTATGCTATACTGTTATTCTGTGAGTTGTACTGCTTGCCAGTTTATTTCCAGGTCCAATTCAATGTGTTGGTTATCATGTTTAATGCCCTTCAACCTGGCATCAGTCCAAGTTATCTGAGGAACTATCTCACCTTGATGGGATTAGCATGCCCCACCTGCACCAGCAGAAGGGCTATGCTGCTGACCTCATCAGTCAAGGAACTCCGGCCGGGGAGTCCAGGAAAAGAACTTTTTCTCCCATGGCTCCTGCCCTCTGGAAGAAGATGAGATCTGCACCCATTCTCTTGGTTTTCTGAAAGGCCCTGAAGACCTGGCTCTGCCACCTTCCTGGGGTTCCAATATAAATATAAAATTAGTACAGCTTGTTACTTTTTCAGGTACATTTTATTCTCTTTAGAAGAGCACTCAATCCTATTTTCAATCTCTTTAAATGTTATTTTCACTCCCTCCTCCGCTCCCTTTTTTTAAAACAATGCTATGACACTAATATTCCCCTAATTGTAATCAATCTTTCATAAATAAACAACACCATGACATTCCCACTTTGGCTCTCTGCCCTTTTGGTATATATCAAAGACAACTGTTTCCTCGAATTGTCCTTCCGCATGTTGATTAGAACATTTTCTTTTCTCTTTTAGAGTCTCCATAATCAGAAAGTTCCTGTGCGCACACTTTGCATATAAAGCAAAATAATACCTGTTTAGATTTTGAAAATAATTTTCTGAAACTTATACCCAACTATTGGGTAATAAATTGTATTTAAAGTTGCTGGTCTTGTTAGTATCCCAGAAATAAACATAGTAATTTAAATAAAGTGCATCCTATAGATTGAGGTTGCAAATTCAGTGATGATGGCAAAAGTGGGCAATATTTTCAATCCTTAATCCATGGTCGACTCCAGACTGTCAGTTGCTGTCAGATTTTTTGGTATCTTGTTATTAATAGATGGCAAAAAAAGGACAATTCTGAACAGTTTCATGAACCAGATTATTTGCAGCACATGCATCTCCAGGCATAGGTCGTTCACCCTGTACATGTAATATTTAAGGGGTTTAAGAAGACAATACAGGTAGTCCTTAACTTACAACCATAATGGAGCCTGCCATTACATTTGTAGGTTGCGAGGCCACCATGTGACTGGAACCATATTTGGGGGAGGGGGTGTTGCGGTGGTTGAAAAGCAGATGCTTCTGTCATAAAGCAAACATTGTTTGATATGGACCATTTTTGCTGAAAGCTAAAAGTAAATAAAGTTTTTGGCAAAAAAATATAAAATATCATGTGGCCATGGAACACTGCAGATAGCAGTGAATGCAGCTGGTTGAGAAATGCTTGATATACGGTCATATGACTGGGAGGGCACGGCCTTTCAAACTTTGGAACCAGGTAATAGGTGTGTTGGATGAGCCCATTGTAATTTTGAACAGCCGTCAACAACCAGTCACAAGTCAAGGAGTCCCAAGTGGGAAGCTATAGAGATTTATGTTCCATAGATTTATGCTATTATGGTGTATGGACATTCCGCAGATATTTGCTATTTTTTAATCTTTAATCAAAGTTTTATTACATTAAAAAGGAAGAAAACAAATATATAAAAAAAACTAAAAGCCACCATCCTGGTGTAATCGGATATTTAAATGCAAAACCAAACTGCGCAAATGCCTATGAAAAGATAAATGCTTTAGTCTGGCACCAAATCACCGAGGCATGGTTTCCAACAGAGGTCATGCTTCATGTGGGCCCCACTGTGAGATTGAATTCCCTTGAAGCTGTTTGCCCAGATTTATTTATTAAAGGTGTCACCTGACTGTACTGACCCAAAAAGTGCGTTGTAATAATCTAATAAAAAGTTACTTCAGCAGATGTAACTGATCTCATTCTGTGTCCTGATATCACTGCAGATGCTGCCTCACCTAACAGGATGACAAGCAAAGGCTGATGAGAACTGCTTTTACATTGGTGGTCTTTTCCAGTGATTGTATGTACATGAAAGAGAAAATAGGGCTTTAGTACACTTTGGTGCAACTAACATTGCCCTTTGGGAATGGCCAATCTGTAAAACAATGATCCTAATTTGAAATATTTTTATTATTTTTCATTTAATGGAGAAAAAAACAATAGTTAACAACATAATGGACCAAACCAAATATAATTACAAAAATCATTCTTTATTGTTACACAAATATAGCATGAGGGTGAAGGTTCTTTCTCCTAGCTTGTGAGTTGGTTTTTGAACATTTCGTTACCAAGCTAGGTAACGTCTTCAGCAGAAGTTCGGCTCCACTGAAGATTTCCTAGCTTGGTAACAAAACATTACCAACCCGCAAGCTCAGAGAAAAAAACTTCACCCTCATTTACACCTGAGTTACAGATATTTGCCCCTATTGCAAATATAGCATATAATCTGAATTAATAGTGTGTGCGTGCGTGAAAAGTATATATATTTTAGAAAAATAAAAAATGTGTAAAACAAACAACAGATCAAGGAAATTGGACCGTTAGTTTGAAGATTCTCTTCCGTACCCTTCTCTTAAAATTTTAATGTTGACAAAGTGAACATATAATATAATATATTGAATCATTTT